ATGCGCACCTTCCGGCAGCAGAGCTATTACCGTAGTTCGAGTAACGGCACAGCTGGCGGACCCTTCAAGGAGCAAGTGGGCCTCTTGCAGGTGGGCGGCTCCGGTGGCAGCGGTGCCACGCCTCATATGATGAGAAAGAGCTCCTCCGTGCGCAGCCCACATCCCAATCATAGCTCAGCAATCGCAACTCGGCACCCGGGCTGCCTACGGGAACAGGAGGAGCTACTGCTCCAAACGAAGCCCTCTACGCTTGTGCTCAACTACGACAGTCAGCGCGGCGGCGTTGGCGTGGGCGTGGCCAATGGCAACAAACTTATGACGGGTGTAGGCCTCCGGGTGGACAATAAAGAGTGTGTGTCCAGTGTGTGAGCAGAGCTGGCGGCGATGGTGACGGTAGAGGCAGAGGTAGGTGAGACATTGCGCGCGGTGGAGGACGCTTGCTCCTGCTGCCGTTGCCTGAGCCAGGAGCTAGTGCGGCGCCAAAAGGGACTCCTAGAGTCGCCCGGCACGGGCGCCGCACAATAAACCAGTCTAAATTGCTGTGAAATTTACAGTGAAAACGCGGCCACTTTGCGTGATCCGCGACTCCGACTCTTCCATTGCTCGTGAGGTTGTTCGAAAGATTGCTTTGCCTGCGGGGCGTGGCAAGGCAAGGCAGGGCAGGGCAGGGCGGGGCGGGGCGGGGTCGGGTGTTGCCGATGATCAGATCATCGAGTCATGCAACATTTGATTAGTGTAACTAACTGAGAATTAAGTCTTTGAACACTGTTCGTGTGGATAGTCGTAATTGTAGGCTTAGTTGAATATAGCCAAGCGTAGGGCATAAGAGAAGCTGACAATTAACTGGCCAAGAGCTGCGAGCCGGTTCATGACTATATTTACATATTAAATTATGTATATGTTTATGTACATGTACATCTGTGTGAGGCGGAGTCTTAATGTAAATTTGATGATATTTTAATCGCCATAAAGCTCAGTTGCGAGTTTATCTCGAATGCGGGAAATACACGTTCTCATCCGATGGCCATTTACAAACATATATGTCATTTTAATTAAACACTAAATCGCAATATAATATAAGCAGCATCAAGTGCAGACTATATCCAGAGTAGCTACTAAGCTGGACATGGAACAGGACTCCGCACAGACTACTCAATTAGCTGTAATGTTATTGGGAGTTTGAGCTACCCGCATTAACGCAGAAACTGTAATCCATACAGGTTAATTACATTGACTAAATCCCCATAATACTTAAGAAACGTGTACTTAACTTTTCCATGTATGCATATATGCATACATATATGTACATACCTGCACACATACATATATGCATATAATCGAAATTGTGGAAAGCGCAAAAAAAAAACCAAAAACAGATTTCAACGAAATTGACCACATGGCAACATGTTTGAAAGCTTGAAAACAGCCAAGGGGACTCTTGTGCATTCCCAATTAAACTCGTGTTTGTATATAAATGTGTGTGTTTGTATGTACAACATCTATTCATCTCTTTCTATGTGTGTGTATTTGTACATGTTAGATAACCTCTGTAAAATTTGTATAGTTTATTTTTTAATAAAAACCGAACGAGAGCAGTGCAACAAATTTACGAGCCAACTTTTACGCACCACGCACAACTCAACACGTTGATGAACTAGCGCTCGGAATCCGGCCTATGCCTATGCCTATGCCTATGATTATGACAATGCCTGTGCTTAGCCTCGTAAATCCGGCACAACTCAAACCCATCGGCAGTATATCCTACCCAGGCATATTACACTTTTTATGCACAGCAGTTCGCAATTCGCTGTCGGGCGGAGCAACGTGGCGCGAAGGACTCCCTCCTCAACTGCACCCACCGGGCACCCGCACCCACGCCCAGCTGCGACAACTCGCCCCTCGCTGCCCAACATTTAGCGGGGCGCTACATATTTTATAACTGCAGAGTTCGTGTTCAAATGCAAAACAAAACGTCGGGAAACGACCAAATGAATCAGCTTCACTGCGCCCAAATATGTGCTACGAAATTTTGTTTGGCTGCTGCTGGCAAAAAAAAAAAAGCGACTTCGGAACCAATTTACGAAAATAATGGAAAACGTGGCTAGCTGGCGGGTGAATGGGGCTGTGCGGCATTTAATGGTTGACCGAAGTTTGTTTTTATTGGTGCGCACTGTAAACTCTGCGGGAGGTCCGCTGGACACACCGTGGAGCCCACGTTCACATCGCTCGGACACAATTATGCACAGGCAGACGACCAAAGTCGGTGACACGTCCATCATTTGATGGCACGATATTTTACCAAATAATTCCCTAAATAGGCATCTGCTTGGTATTTAGACACCGCGCTGGCAATTGTCTGCTCGTGAATTTAAATTCGAATGTCATAAAGTGCACAGCATGAATGTGCGACTGCTTTGTCTCAGGCACACGTTCGCTGTCCACAAAAACAAATTCCGAGTCCCCCTTAACGACTCCCGCTCCTTGGCCCGTCACAGGGCACACCATGGCGAAGGAACTCTGATATTTAAAGCATTTCGATTACCCACCCTGGTTTAATGATGATTTAATGGACTTGGAAGAGGAGATCTGTTGGCTCTGTGCATCAGTTAAAGTGAAACAGTTTAACAATCACTGAACACAAACCAGAAACAACTTCAAGATCTTTGTCGATAATTATTGAGTGCTCGTAAAACGAAAGATGAAATGGAGCGCATACGAGACGCATTTAGGCAGATTTCCATTTTGCAATAATAATGCATGACTGAGGTTCCCTGTTAAAACACAACTTCTGACTTTCGTTGTTTTTTGCTCATCCTACAAACAGCCTTTTATAATACAATTCGCAACGATTAATGCCATTCATGCGTAGACCAATAATGATTTCGTAGCTCATCAAAACAAAAACATAAAACGTACATATAAAGGTTAGATGCCTGGTATTCCGTAGGCGAACCAAACAGCGGAAACCCCCAAGTGACTCATCAAAAATTTATGAGCTGTACATAAACTAAATGGATTGCATATGTACAAGAATGCCTTCGTTATATAAAAAGTCCTATAACACATTCAATAAAAGCCAGTCAGTCAGCGGTCGCCATTTGCCAAGTCTAAAACATAAGAACAAACTATTTGCGTTTTCGTATATAATCGTATATTCAATCAAATTTCTTGTTTTTAACAGATTTTCACTTAGATGTAGGTCAGACATATAGACAACTCAATGTACATCGCGAAGTGGAGACATGGAGACATTCTCAGACATGGGAACCCGGCTTAATGTATAATTCGTACCATAGAGACCGCCACTTTTATCTCGTGCTAACCACCGCCTCCTTGCGCGCCGCGTCCTGCAGCAGCTGTGTATCCACCTCGTCGCCGGGCAGCTGCACGTAGCGCACGACAGAGCCGCGGATGAAGCAGTTTTTGACGCTCAACATGTGCGGGTATTTGTCGGGATCTGTGACGCTGATATCTGTCAGTTTTATGTTAAGATACTGATCAACGGAGTGTAGCGTTCCGCAAATGCTGAAAATATGCCGGCATTAGTTACATTTTTGTGCACTGACACGCGCCAAAAGCGCAACTTACCTTAGGTCATTTTTCAGCTCGACTACAACTTCTTTGCCTACGAGCGATTTGAAGAACGAATAAAAGAGCTGTAAGGAGAGTGGATTTGATTGTTAAACATTCTCATTGATATTTATTCTATGCTTACCATTGCAAATTAAGTGGTTTTATATTGTTTATTAATGCTGCTTCTTCTTACGTCTTGCGCAGTTGTTTCTCAACACTGATAGCTATAGTTTCAACTGTGGCCACCCAAAAAACTTAACATTTGATAAACTGCTATCAACACCGCGGACTTATTTGTTCCAATTTAAAATTTTTTCGTTTATTTCAATTTGTTACCAAAGCTTATAGGAGTGGGATTTCTCACTAAATTAATATAATTTTATACAATATATTGAATTTCGACTGTGATAAGTTAGTTGATTGTCTAAACAATTAAAAAACTTATAAATAAGACACGTCGTGTTAACAGTGCTAAAATGAGAAGAGAATTATAACACTTTATGTAAGCATGTGGTCCCTTTTTGACTTATCGATAGTTTTCGATACGCTGCTGTCAACCGTCCACCACATTCTATCAGCTGTTGACGTTCTAAAATTTTGATTTTAATTTTAGTTCTATAAGGAAATGCAAATTATGCAAATCAGCATTTCGGCCTAGCTATACTAATGCTTTATTTTTAGCTTTTATCTTCTGAATATATTTTTGCAATAATTCTATTTAAAAGTAAAACTTACATTTCCATAGTAATTTTGATTGTTAAATACTAATAACATAATTTGTGTAACACCAATCTTTCATACAGAATGTATTTAATGCTTAACCTCCACGGGTTTTGCTGGTAATGTGTTTCTGTGTAATTTACAAAGTTAATTATGGATGCTTTCAGCTCACAGTTGTAAATGGCAAGAGAAGGAAGTTGTTATAATGTGGCATAATTTTTAAAAATTGCAGCGTTTAGTGGTTTACATTAGTTTATCGAATGGCCGCCACAATTTGATTGGCAGCATAGCCATCTGTAGGCGAGTAGACAAACCTCGACCGACGTGAGTGGGTGACTGTAACGTGTCGCTGCTGTAATGTGCGAAACTTTGAAAGCGCAGCCGCCGGTAGAGAGCGCCACTAGTACAGCAAAAAACATCAACACTGTGCTCGGAAAGTTAGGTATCATGAGAAAATATGTTTGCTTATTTTAGGAAAAACGAATCAGTATATAACCAATCAATTCAATTGAAATAGTTAGTCCAGCAAGTTCTGCATCTTATGGTTCCGCAAATATTCTCGAAATCTAAATATTATTTGTATGAAAATATTGATAACCAGCTGTTTAAATTGCACTTGCTAATATATAATTTATTGATGTTTTAATTAAAATTACATTTTTATAACAATTTTTGGTTCTAAAACTATTTACAAACATAGGCTCACATTGATTTTATCTTTCGGTTTCTCTACTTATTTACTTAGTTCGAACTAACAATAATTAATGCATTACGTCTCGTTTATATCGCTGTAATGCAATTTTCTTAAAACTTCGTTTAGCTTAAAAATCACATTTGATCATTTTTACTTAAAATCTCAACTTTCCCAAAAAAAGCCAACTGGCGAAATGACTTAGTTGCCGTTAACTAAGGAGTTACAGTGCCTACCAACATGCTCCTTACCGGAGCCCGCAACTCTAACGCTAATAAATTCGTCTGGATACGACTCTGTCTGTGTCCGTGTCCGTGTCCGGCGCTTAGTGGTCCGAGCTGAAGTAGGAGTTCTGCATGAGATACAGCTTGTCGATGGGATTGATAAGGCTCGTATTCAGATTGGCCAGCATGTCGTGCGGATTCGAGTGCTGATTGTGGTTCCCCGACGAACTGGTCGACTGCAGTTCCAGATTGTTCAGGGATAGCGAGTCGGCGTCGTCATCCAGCTGGTCAAAGTTGCTGCCGTCGAGCGAGAGGTCGGAGCTGCAGAAGCTGTCATTCGAATTGGCCGGATAGTCTGCTTTGCGAGAAATAATTACTGGATTAGTTGAAAAAGACTAAAGTATAGCTGGGATAGGATCTACGCACCATCCGGGGAGAAGGGCAAGTTCGGATTTAGCGGCTGACTGGCAAATGCGCTGTCCATGCCGCTCAGGAAGCCGCCCACATTGTCCACGCCATGCTCCTGTTTGACGCACTTCTCCTCCTTTTCACTGGCGTCCTTGTCATCTGAGGCGCCTGCACTGCTGTTGCCACGCCCATTGCCTGAGCCGCCCGCAGTGCCGCCATTCTGTTTCGCCTTGCGCTGTATTTTCTTCATCTTGGCCCGCTGATTCTGGAACCAGACCTGCACCACACGCACCGATAGACCCGTGTCCTTGGCCAACGCCTCGCGCACCTTGCGGCACGGCTTGGGCGACTGATCGAACGAGGCCTTGAATTGCTTGCGCTGCTGGGATGTCAGTATGGTACGCGGTCGCTTCGGGCCGCGCCGGCCGTCCCGTGGCCGCAGCAGATCCTCCTCGTCCAGGCCAACAAAGCCGCAGTGCTGTGCGGCTGCAGCCGCCAGAAACATCTCCTTCTCCAGATCGTGGCGATAGCAGAAGAGCTGGCCGTCCCGCAGCATGAACTGTTCGCCCTTCTGGAGCGGCAGACGGCAGGCGTAGCACACGAAGCAGGGCAGATGGAATACATAGTTGGGTATGGGCCGCATCACCAGCTCCTGCGGCAATATGGCATGACAGCAGGCAGCGCACTTGACCCCAAACAGCCGATCGTAGTCCAGCTTACAGTAGAGCTTCGAGTTGCGCACGTAGCAAGTGTGGTGCAGCTGCATGCCGCAGTAGCAGCAGGCCAGGCACTGCTCGTGCCAGTTGGAATCGCCCACGTTCATCAGATAGCGGTCGTGTATCTTCTGGCCGCAGCCCTCGCACAGCTCATAGTTCTTCTCGCATTTGATGTGTCCCACTTCTGCGAGTAACCGAGAAAAAAAGAACAGAAATAAAGCTTATTAGTGAGTGATAAAATCGATATGTTGCCCCACTGTACGCCCAAAAAAAAAGCTGATCCCCTACGTGCTGGCAGCATATGTTGATGCACAGGCGACAGAGGAGGAATGAAGTATGAAGTACGAAGGCGAGTACGTTGTCAAATCGTGTGAAAATGTTTTTGTCCCGTCTGCTGTTGTGCTTATGCTCATTGTTTCGCACTTCTGGCTCCTGGCAGTCAAAAGTCTTTCCAAACAAAGCAAAAAAAAAAAAAGAGAAACAACAAAAAAATTATCTGTCGCCGTCGCCTGGTGTAACAGCTTGTATTGATAGCTCCTTGATGCGTAATTGAAACGTAAAGTTTGCTACAATTTTGCGAGTCTGAAATTGATGGGCCCAAAGCCAAAAGAAGCGCACTCCCAATTGAAGCGGGCTGCAGAAAGCTGTTGCAAGGATTTACCTTGGATGAGGCACACGATTAGTGTGAAAGCTTGAAAATTAGTAAGGCGCTAGCTGAGGCTACTTCCAGACTGACTCACTGCAAATATACGCTGCCCAGCTCACCCCATTCTCGACATACTTTAGTCTACTCAGCCTAATCCTGGACGCAATTACAACGACGAGCGACACATCAGAGTGTTAACTAAAAGTGGAGTGCTTTATTCGAAAATACACAGCTAAAAGATATTCTGTGTCGTCTCCAAGTAGAGGTAACGTGAACTTAATCGATTCTTTAAATCTGATTTCTATTTTGTAATATCTATTTATTATTTGCAGGTGTGAAAATTGCAATCAAAAAGCAAGTATATATCTTTCAAAATACGATTTTATAAATGTTCGGAGGATTTGTGGTATCCAATGAAAAAAACATGTCAAATTTGGGCTCTTTAGCTTTATAATCCAAGGGCAAGGCTTTTATAAAATACAGGAAATTGCGCTGAGTAAGGTATGTGAGAGCTAGTAATAAAAATGTTAAATTAATGTTTGGTGAGTCTATCCAGACGTTCGGGCGGACAGGCAGACTATATCTACTCGACTGTTGATTGTGGGTCGTCTGCTTCGTCTTAACTTAACTTTTACGAAGAAGAGGATAATCTAAGGAATCTAAGTGCTCCATTCAAAGTGCTCCATTCTATACCAAACCATATACCGTCTAGTCAAATAGCTAGCTATACGCTGGACTCTGGTACAACAGGAATGCCCTGCACAAAGATTAATATGTGTATGACTAACTCGACTAATCTGTGCACATGCACGCACACTTCAAACTGTAAACCAGTCATAAAAAGTAGTACCCCGAAAAACCACTCTAACACACACAGCAAAAGCTGCAGTAAACATAAAAAAAGGCGAAATGACGAGCGCCATGAGAATTGGATGGCAGCAACTGAAAAATGAATGACAGGATGGGAGGGGGCGGGTGGCAGGGCGGCGCTGCTCTCATATTATATGACTGTGGCTCACGGGCGGCAAAAATGTGCATGATTTATGGTTGGCACAATGGCAGCCCCTCCCTGATCTATGCATATTTATGTGTTTATGTGTGTGTGTGTATGTTTGGGAGCTAAGCGAGCAGCCAAAACAGCTTAAACCCAATACTCTTGGCTGTGCAGCTGCCTGTGTTGTGTGTGCTAAGCCAGCGCAGCGTAAAGTTGACACGAGGAGGAGCAGCGGGAGCAGCGGGAGAAGCGGGAGCAGGCAGCAGCCCTGATGATGACTATGGATGGGTATAGCTGTTGGCATATCGCTTGGTATATCGCGCGCCCTCAAAAGTATGCTATAAAAAGCAGCTGCAATGCTCTAAACGTGTGTGTGCGTCTCTGTATACATATACATATATACATATATCCAATCGCATTGTGATAACGCGAAAATATTGCTGCGGAAAAGTTTTAGGCTAGAGTTTGGGCACGCTGCACGGGATCATTTGATAAGTCCCGTTTTGAATTGGCAATTTCTTTGTTTTTCCTTTTTTTTCGGGCCTGGTGCTCGTCCTGTGACCATTGTGAATGCGATATTGTGTAGGGAATTGTCTTTTTGTGGTGCCAACCATTGACATTCCGCTTTGTGTAATCTAATCGGAATTTATGGCCTTTTGTTGCAGTTTTATGGAGCGGCATTTTATTCTTTTTGTTGCAGCCAAAAGCCAAAAGCGAAAAGGACAATTTCTGTGTGTGCTTGACGCATTTGCGAAATGTGATGATACGAGCTATGCATATGAGATATACAATTTGAAATGTGTATTTATCGTTGTTCGCATTCAATAAATGTACAATTGGCAGCGCAACAGAAGTCTGCCGCGGGGCTGCCGATTGATTAGCCGTTGCCTTGATCAGGCCCAACTTGTCGGAATACAAACGCAAACACAGCTAAAACAAGTGCGGCGCACTCATGTCAAATGGCACGATTAAACAGCAGATAATTCCCAAAATCAACACGCCGATAAACGCGGGCACCCATAAACATATACAAACAGTTAATAGACAACAGCACCCAAACGCTCTTATCAGCTGTGATCGCGTTATCATTGCCGTGGCTTATCAGCGAGCGAACGGCGTCTCTGATTAGGACAGAGGCAGGCAGTAGAGCTCATCCCCCAATCCAGCGTTGGCCAAGCTTTATGGCGCACTTATTGACACATTGACAGGCGAGCGCAGCTCTATGATGATATAAATTGACAGGCAGCCAAAGTTGTGGCATAAATTTTGGGCTCAAGTCGCCGCCAAATAGTCCACGTGGCACGGAGATTTTGGCAGACAGCTTGTGACAGCTCATGATACGACGGCTTTAATTACAGCGGCCGCAATTTAAAGCACCGCACAGCCGCCGTCTAGTGAAAGTGGCAAAGCTATGCATATCGAGGATATGCCACATATGCGTATATATGTATGTGTGTGTGTGTGGGTGTTTGTATTTATATGTATTTACTCAGTTACACAGAGAGTGCCAAGCTGGAGGCACCGCAGCAACCAGATATGCCGAGACACACGGCGCATAGCTGGGGCGGGCAGCAGGTTGCAGGTTGCAGGTTGCATGTGGCAGGCTGCTGGCTGCTGGCTGTTGAGCGTTGAGTGTGTTCATTTCCGAGCTTGGGTCGCCAAAACGCTGAGGCAGCCACAAATGCCATGAAATTCCTCGCCCATTTGCAGCTGATGGTGCTGCAGTTGGTTTTGGGGTTTTGGGTTGGGTTGGGTTGGGCAGCTAAAGTTTGGTTTTGGCGTCAAATTCAAATTCAAATTCAAATTCATAGATGAGCAATGCTCAAGTCTAGCACCAAAGTGATTGGCAAACGGAAACTATTTGCTGCCATTTTGGCCAGCCATTAATAGACATTTCATATGCAAATACAAGCATAAAGCCAACAGCACAAACGTGCGGTTGTCTCAATGTGTGTGTGTCTGTGTGTGTGTGTGTGTGTGTGTGTGTGTGTGTGGCGAAATATTTGCGTGCTTGACAGAGCTGGCCCAGTTGGGGTCCGGGTTCGCATATGCATCACACATTGTTTGCACACTTTGCATTTTGGCCAGAATTTCGTAAAGTTTGCCAGCAACACTTTCGTTGCAGCTGCTAAAAAGTGCTGCCTACTTGGAGGCGCCTGCAATGCGTGCGAGTGTGCGTGTCTGCGTGTGTGTGTGTATGTGTGCGAGTCTGTTGCATGCCTTAATCGCCCTGTACAAACACGCACACACACATAACATGCGTCGGTGAGGTTCATTGTCAAAATTATTTTGTGGTCAACTTGCGTTCATACTTTTGGCAATGCTTTTGCCGTCGGAACGAACAATTGTTATTATAATTGCATGCTTTATGCTTTAAAGTGCATTTGTCACACGAATATCAATTGAAATTTATTTGGTTTCGCCCTGGCCACAAGTTTGGTTTGTGTGTTTTTATTTGAAATCGCTCCAAAAGCCAAACACAAAGTGTCCTTGGGCAGATTTAACTTAGCTAATTCATAAATACATTGCCAAACATTTAATTATTTAGCGTGCGCGAACATGATTAATGTAAACACCACAACTAGCCTTATTTCGTTTCATGCCTATATATTTGCCTAAAATGTATATCTCCAATGAAATGTTTTAATACATATTTTTTGCAACAAATTCCTTTTTTCTATGCTTAATATATCAGCCAAACAAATTTAAAGCTTTTTATCCGAACATATATATTTATTTCAAGCTCATAAGCTCCAATAATATATTTTTTTTGAACTCGTACGAAGAACTGTAACGATTATTTTTGTATAGAAATTAAAATTCAAAACGAATTTTAATAAGCAAAACGTGCTAATCCAATTTTACCGACAATTCTTAGAATTATGATTTAATCAACTTAGCAAAACTGAAAATGGATTTAGGGATTCTGCTAGTAATAACCAATCTTCATGAAACGGATTTAAAAACAAAACGTATTTACTAAAAACTCATTTCGTTCCAGAATCCTCAGAGCTTGATGAACTTAACAAATTGAAAGTGCATTAAAGCGTCAAGCAGCAGCCAGCCACATCAGCGGCAATATCGAGACGAAGCCCCAAAACCTAGAATATCACACGCAAATTGCGAAAATAATTTGGGCCAACTTTGAGCGGGGTGTGCAGCGGGAAGGGGCGGCAGCAACAAGAACGGGAGCGATGCAAACTAGCCGTAAGTTGAACACCGGACGGAAAGCCACGCATATCCGGCTTCGGGCATCGTTCGCCTACGACGCCTACATGAACGCCTGCCCGCCCGCCCGCACCACCACCACCAAAACTCGCCAGCCAGACAGCCTGAATCTGGCCATGCCCCACACGCCACGCAGCACACACAAGTATGCCAAAAACGAAAAACGTGGCAGCCCCAACGGAAACGGAACCAGAACGAGCCGGTAAATGCCTCAACTGCCGGTGCAAAATACTTTTGGAACATACCTGTGCGTCCACTGCAATCAGCAGACAATTTCGATGCTGACGCCAGCGCCAACGCCGACGCCGTCGCTGCCGAGAGTGCCGTGGCTGCGGTGCCGGCTCCAGTTGCTGCTGCTGGCACAGAGATGGCTGCTGTTGCTGTTGTTGCGGCAGCAGCAGCTGTTAATGTGTTGCAGGCGGAGTTTTGGCTCTTGCTGTTGTTGTTATTGTTATTGTTGTTGCTGTTGCTGTTGTTGTTGTTGTTGTTGTTGTTGCTGTTGCTGATGGGACTGTGACCTGTGGGCGTTGGGCAGCTGTTAATTGGCGCTGGTGAGACCGCGTGCTGCTGCTGTTGTTGATGTTGTTGTTGTGAGGAAATTACAGATGCCGTTAATGAAGCTGTTGCTGTCGGGTTGTTGCTGCTGCTGCCGGAAATGTTTGCTGCCAAATTGCTGTTGTTGTTGCTGTGGACATTATTGTTGCTGCTGCTGCTGCTGCTGCTGTTGGGCAAACAGGCAGTTGTCATGCTGCTGTTTACATTTGCCGTTGCACTGGGACTGTCCAGGAAACGTGCGCCGCCATGATTCTGCTGCAGCGAATATAAACTGCCACCGACTTGATTGAGGTTTGTGGGCATTGGATAAAACTCCAACATTGTATTGACACAGTTAGACGCGGGCTCACTCTTCCTTTTTGTTTTTATTTTGATTTTTATTTATTTTATTTAGCTTTTTGCAGTTCAATTTGCAGTTGTGTGTTCCTTAAAGCACATGCATAACTATAATATTAAAAGTTTCACACAAGTCGCACACGTATAAACAAAACTGTAAACACGAACGCAACACTCAACCCTTGCACGAGTTCTTCAACGTATTATATGGTATATTTATATTTGCCGGATACTGTGGCAAGCGCGCTGACAACCAGCTGTGTCCGCTGTCAGTTTGCGTGTGATCGAACAATCAGCGAAATCAAAGCATTTCACTTTGCCTCCAGTGCTCGAAGCCGACTGCTGACTGCGGCGGCCAAAAGTCCCTGCCTAAAATGTACCCCCGCATACAACACACGCACAGGCATACACGTACACACACACACAGACAGAGTTTCATTGCGCCGGCGCATGTTTACAAAAGCAACGGCAACAACAACTGGTACTGGACTAAGTATGAGTCTGGGAATTTCCCGCTGCATGCGAAGGGTTGCATGCAACAATGCCAGCCAATGGTCCAACCCCCAAACCCAGCGCCCCTGCCGCGCACAGCGCATGTCTCAAGTGATTATTAGCAGCGAGGGAAATTTACTCATGCGTAATTTCCCTTCGCTCGCAAAGGCCACACCTCAGACGCGCTCCGATTGGCTGACCGGCTTCCCCGGCAACCATTTTCCCTGGTGCGCATGCCGTCAAAGCCCTTTCGCAGGGGAACTGCATGGCAGTCGTCGTCGTCGTCGCCGTCGTCGTCGTTCTTGTTGTCGTTCTCGTTGTCGCAGCCGTCATCAGCTACTGACTTGAACTTTTATTTTTTATCGTCTTGGCATAAATTTCAGGCAAACTTCTCAGCTGGGCGGTCGGCTTGCTGCTGGTGGCTGTGGTGCTTGGGCGTTTGGGTGTTTGGTGTTTGGCGTTTGGTGTTTGCTGATTGCGCACAAAGACATACTGAGAGTCGCGGCAACTTTGGCGTGTTCGTTGCACGCTGCAATGGCCATTTCTTATGGCTTTTTTTTTTGTTGCTGTAAGCAGTTGGTGTTGCGGCCGCTGCTGCAGCTTTGAGTGGACCAAATACATGCTGCAAACGGTGGCCTTGCCTTTTTTGCACTTTGCTTTCTACTTTTTGTTTGGCTAGTTGCAACTGGGTGATGCAATTGCCCGCAGCACAGCCACGGCTCGTTGACAAAGGCAGTGACACCCTGTATATAAAAAGCAGCTAACTGTCAGTTGAGCAGTCAACCAGCCTTGGCTCTCTGCTGTCGCACTGGCTCACCCACTTACACGCACACTCACACACACACAGGCACAAAAGGAAGAGGCGGAAACTGCCAAGACAAACCAAACATGGCGCTGTGCACAAAAGTTTGGCGCTCCTTCAGCTGCTGCTGCTGCCTTTGCCTTGGCTTTGGCTTTGCCTGATGCTGTTTCTGGCTTTCTTCTTTTGTCTTGTGCTTTTGGCAACTTCTAGTTGGCTTTTGGCTTAAGATAGGGCTTTGGCTACGGCGATTTTGCACAAAACTTAATTTCTGTTTTTCTTGTTTTCGCTTCACTTGTTATGCTTGTTCTTCCTGTAACTGCTTTCAATGCTCTGCATGCCAAGAAACTGTTGATGCCGATGATGCCGATGATGCCTGCTGCCATTTCGGCTAAATATATGGCTTTGGCTGTCATCTGGAATAAAGAAATCGCATTGCAGAAACCAAGAACTTGGTAGAGTTATTCTCTCCTTACCTTTGTCATCGAAAATCCATCAATTGAATGGTGATCTTTCCGAAATAAAAGTATTTTTATATTTTTGAAACTAACCAAAGGGTTTTTTCATAATTTTTCATTGCAAATTAAAACTTACGGATGAATAAATATAAGCAGGGAAAAGGTTATTATTCAATTATTCTTTTAGCAAAGTGTGTTTTTGTTTGTTAATTCCGAACAGTAACGATTTGACCTTGCCTAGTTATGGGCCCATAATTCGATTCAGTTTTATGCATATCTTTTTATACAGTCACCTGTGCAAGGTCCACGAGTAATTTGAAGTTTTATTGCCCATAATCACTACCATTTTGGGGGCGTGTGTATAATTAAGCTAGCTCGAAGTAAGGCCTTTCCTAAACCATGAGTTTACCGTGGCCATAACAAAAGCTACAAATTATTATTTACGGGGTGTCATAAAGATTAACTAACTCATATATAAACAGTGTACATATATATACATTTATTTTGACTCATTTGGTATCTGCAAAAGATACCAATCAGCGCGACAATTCAATTAGCCCTGGCAACAAACGAATAGTACCCTAGCCAAATGCGTATGGTAAAGCCCTCCGTCAACCTTTATTAATAGGTAGAAATGATGACGACATCAGCGACAGCGACAGAAGTAATGAAATCAAATTGACAATGGGCAAAAAGTGGAAAATGTCACAGGACTCGACCGGAACAGGATTGGCGGTACCCAAGCAAAATGTTTGGGTACTAGAAACAAATTTAATAAAATATCTAAAAACAAAAAGCAGCAAAGGGTAGCGCGGGCTTCACTGCACGCATTATTTGTACGGGTGTCTCTCTGTTTATGTGTATGTGTGTGCGAGTGGTTGTATTGTGAGCTGAGTTATATTGAATAACCACAACAGCAACAACGGCAACAGCCAGAGGAGTACGCTCGACAGCCCGAGGATAAATAGTTTTTGTGTGGCACTTCAATTATCATTTGAGCATGATAAGCGCTAAAGAGGCATCAAGAACAAGTAAACTGGCAGACTGAGGTTAGAAAGTGGTAAAAAAGAAGCCACTGGCAGCCACACAAGACTGCTTCAAAATCTGCACAAGGATGCACGCCGCATGGAGTAGAGAAAAGAGAGAGAGAGAGACGGGGAAGAAGGGACCACCTTGTGGCGTTTGTGTGTGAAATCAAGCAGCAAACAGAGCAGAGCAGAGCCAAGAATCATCGATATATGATTAGGTATAGAGGTATGGAGAGATAGGGGTCATTAGAGGCAGGCTTCGACCTAAGCAACAATTCATTCCCGTCCACATGCCCATTGAGGAGCAGTCAAGTAGAAGAGCGTTGTGGCTTGGGGCGGGTGGTGTCATTGCATTGTTTGTTTTGCCAAGACGCATGACCCACTCCAGGCGTAGGCCAAGCTATTTATATTTTTATAAGCAACCAACGTCTTGGCAACAATAACAACTGCAGCTGCATAGGGCTCAAGGAAGAGCGAAAGAGAGGCAGAGAAAGTCATCAACAACACGCGCGCTGAGTGCTGGACAGGCAAAAAAAAATCTATGTATATGCGTATGTATAAATAAGGAAGAAAAAAAAGGACACTGCCAGGCCTTGTGAAGTATGTAAACAAAGGCTGCGTTTGAGGAGGAGCCGCAGCAGTTGTTGCACCCGCTATGAGCACGCTACATGCCACAGCCTGAAGTGGGCTAATTTGACGAGCCCCTGCGTGGCGAGTGCAACCCCCAAGTCCAGAAGTCCTCGGTCGGCGTCCAAAAGCAAAAGTGTTAAAGGATTTATGCGCGTAATTTTGCAGATGTTTAGATTTCAGTTTTCAGAATATATCTTGCTCGCTTCTGCCAAATTAGTTCCTGCCCGGTGTGCGGACTTGTGTCAACAGCCCCGAACCCCGTTCCTGTTTCCCACTTTCAGTTGCAGCAGCATTGATAGACACGCTGTCTGCCCAACAGACAGCCAGCGGAGTGAGCAGCAGAGTGTGTGTGTGTGTCTTTGTATGTGAAGTGGCGCAGCGTGTGCACAATTCACTTTCGGGCAGCATTTCTCTCATTGAATGCTATGAATAAAACGCTCTGTTTGTTTAATGTCAACTTTAGTGCACTCGCATCCATCCGCAGCTCTCAGCTGCGACTGCTTGAGCCAAACATATTAACTTCGTAACCATATAGTTGTATGGCATAGTAGTTGGGTTTGGACTTGTATCGTATCCAGAATGTGCCCGGTTACGAGTATTCTTGTCACACTCGCATATGGTTTATTTATCTTGCGAAATACCATTAAGCTTTTGTTGATAATCAGCTCTTTGAAACGACTTGTCTGCTAGCCTGACCAAATGTTTATGCATAAAACGAACTTATATCAGTTTTTTTTTGGACTCGTGAAAATCCATCATAATAAAATTGGCATCAAAAGTATGTGACATCAGGATCGACTTCATTGTGATAAAAATTGCTCTACATTAAAAACTTGGATATCAAAAACCAACCATTTCTTGTTAACAAATTATGTCCGATACAGGAATGGCCGAATGAATGACCGATTCGTTTGTAAAGTCAACCTTTTTTGATGAATTTTTGGATTATCTCGGCCAAATAATGTCCGATTTGGGAATTTTATACCATTTTGGACTCGTAAGGATCAGTACTATCGATTGGCATCAAGAAAATGTAAATCTAAATTTTGACCAAAATCATCAAAATGGCAAGGGGTTACATCACGTTTTTTCTCAAATTCGGGGTCGGTTCGAAAATCGAAACTTTTTTGATGATTTTTATTGAATTTCTCGGGTAAATATTGTCAGATTTTTAAATGTTATACCTTTTTAAATTCGTATGCATCCCTACTATCAATTGGCATTCAAACATTTTCAAAATGGATGAGTTAAAAAAAGTGGTTGACCGAAAACCGATTCGTTTGTAAAGTCAACCTTTTTTGATGATTTTTTGGATTATCTCGGCAAAATAATGTCCGATTTGGGAATTTCATACCATTTTGGACTCGTTAGGATCAGTACTATTTCATACCATTTTGGACTCGTTAGGATCAGTACTATCGATTGGCATCAAGAAAATGAAAATCTAAATTTTGACCAAAATCAACAAAATGGCAAGGGGTTACATCACGTTTTTTCTCAAATTCGGGGTCGGTTCGTAAACCGAAACTTTTTTGATGACTTTTTTTGAATATCTCGGGTAAATATTGTCAGATTTTTAAATGTTATACCTCTTTAAATTCGTAGGGATTCCTACTATCAATTGGCATTCAAATATTTTCGAAATCGATGGGTTAAAAAAAGAGGTTGACCAAAAACCGATTCGTTTGTAAAGTCAAGCTTTTTTGATGATTTTTTGGTTTATCTCGGCCAAATTATGTCAGATTTGGGAATTTTATACCATTTTGGACTCGTAAGGATCAGTACTATCGATTGGCATCAAGAAAATGTAAATCTAAATTTTGACCAAAATCATCAAAATGGCAAG